TGGTTGTTGAAGTCTGAAAGCTTTTGAAAATTTCTGAAGATGTAATTGAAGTTGAATAAAGTTTTTAGCTTATTGTTTTTTTCGAATTTTTCTCAATATGTTACAATGAATGAAATTGTTGGAGTTTTTTAGAACATGAATATTTCTAGAGATGTAAATAGAGTTGAATGAGGCACAGCAAAGGTAATTTTCATTGAAATCAAAAGGGACTTCGTTTGTAAACCTAGAAACCAACTAATCCCAGACCCTGGTGGGTCTGCCGCTTTAACAGCAGGAAAGTTGTTCGTGTCCATTCTACACCCACATATTTCTCAATAGTTCCGCGACCACAGGCAGATACAAGCACAAATTTTACTTCTTATCTCTACCTCGCGTTTTTCGTTTTCAGCGAGCGCTTCTGTAATGTCGCCGACGAAAACATCGAGGCAGAATACGAAGAATGCGTAGAGGAAGATGAGATTATCTAAGATGAGAGCTTCAATGATGAGAATGTTCGCACGACATCAGTTGAGGTAAGTACCATTCGGATGGAACAGACAGAGGAAGTATCACAGCGCCAAAGGAGACTTCATAGCAGAAAAAGAACCATTATGGCGACGCACAACAGGCATGGTTCGATGTGGGAAAGGTTATCAAACACACGATCCATCGCAATTTTCCAAGAAACACACGAAAGCGGAAAGCGGATTGAGACTAAAGATGGCAGATGTTATGCCTTGCTTCATTCCTGACGGTGAATATTTCATCGTCGATGAGCCAAGACTCGTGAATCTGATCCAGTCCACCAAGCCTTTTACAAATGTAAACTTGCCGCAGCCGCCTTAGCCCCCTTTCATGTCAACCGCAAAAGAGAGCCTATGCCATTATCACTGTTGTTTTTATCACTGCAACATATCATTTGCAGGAGAGTTCCATTGAAACCCATGGTCTCTAACGAAGAGAATTTCGTACCTAAGAGAAAGTAAGCTTTAAACTTCATATTGTTTTTTACTCTCAAAACTATCGTTACAGATGCGGCCCGCCACCGCCACCACCGACCACGAAACCAAAAGAACCGACCCGCAGCCAACCGCCCCAAGCAGCGAGCTAGATTCTACCTTTGGTCAATTTTTGAGACTGATGACGGATTTGATCAAGAAGGAAGTAAAGAAAGAGGATATAAAGGAAGCGGACGCAAAGGATGTTGCTGATGAAATTTTCAATCTTGAGTAAATCACATGTTGTTGTTGTAAATTTTTCCTATCTGTAAGTTCACTTTTTCTGTGAAAGGAGCGATAAAGGTTTTTTTGTTGAGGTTTTTGTCTGAGAATTCCGGTTTCACCAAGTGTTGATATCTCTGTAGGCTTCAATCGGTTGAATCGTTGGTTCCACCTCCACTGAGGTGACCGGATGGTCACCTTTATTATAACCAGGGTTGAGCAAAGGCCAAGCACAAGTCCTTCGAAAACGACCCCCACCCTTTCTGGAAAACCCTAAACGACCGCCTCTTCGTCCTCTTCACCTCCTGAACTCAGAGTATGACATCAGTTTTCAAATTTTAGGGACTGTAC